GACCTCGTTCTAAGGAAGGAAATAAATCACCGTTCGCAATAATTGCCAAATATTACTAACAACTAAAAAAAATGATTTTTCTTGTAAGACAATTTTAGCTTAAAAAAAAGTGGGGGGATATTTTGATTTTCATGAATTGAGAAAAGAGGTATGTGGGTAGGTAGCCCAATTTAGAAAATTCCCGGATTTTTCAAGGAGCTTTTGGACTATTGCTGTTTTTCCAGCGCTTGAAAAGGCCGTCAAATTTTCAGAACATGTACAAACTACTGCGTTTTTTTTTTTTGTTTATAATTGTATATAACCACTACGTAGCCAAAACGGTGCATTGTTGCAAGAAGTATTAAAATTAAGACCTCACTACACTTTTTATTTTTTTTATATATATATATATATATATATATATAATTCACGGAGATAACTATTTAATGCTATATTATTGATTTATGAGTAACAATTCTAGGTGCAAAATTGCTTCCTTTTCGGTTTGCACATAATATACAGAAGATTAAATTGCAGATTATTTTATGTTCCCCGCCTCCTTATCTTGAAGGTGACACAACGGGACAGATTTGTCTGGTACTTTTTTTTTGATAATGTAGGTACCTTAATGAGATCGCTAAAAGAGCAGAGCATGATGAAAAAAGACGCCAACCTTGACGAAAACAAAATGTTATCGTCTCAATGTTTGTTATTATTAAGAGGAAAGATCAAAGTATTTTGGGGGTATTTTTTTACGTTTTTACAATAGTTCCTAGCACGTAAAAAATTTTCATTAAAAATTTTTTTTTTTTTTTTAGTCAGCAAAATTGACAGATAATCAGTCATGTCAACCATTTTTTATAAAAAAATATATGAAAGTCTCAGTTTGAAAATCTTTTAAAAATCAATTATAATTTTTTCAAAACTTATTTTAAGAAAATCAGAAATTATAATGTTTATTTAAATATTTTGAAACAAGCATTACTTAGTTTCTGTGCCGAAAAGATGTAGTTTGAAAATAAAACAAAGCAGGTCATAACTTGACAGGTGACGAAAGACATTTTCATGACATATTTAGACGCTAAAATTTTGTTTTCATCAAGTTTTGGTGTCTTTTTCATCATGCTATGCTCTTTTTTTAGCGATCTCATGAAGGTACCTATGATAGTGTTATTACATTGGACAATGTTTTTTTTCTTTTTCTTTTCCAGTGAAGTTCTTTTTAAAACAGCCAGAAAATATCCGGGAATTTGCTGCAGGTAATTTTACATTTAACATATGTTTCTCAGGCTATAATATAAAACTTCTGCAGTCTATTATTGCCTGATATCTGTTCCAATATGGCTTGGATTCTATGCAACATAATTAAAGCTAATATAATAGAGTTCAAGTTTCCTACATAAATTTTCAACTGTTATTTCTGCTTCTCAGCTCAATTAGTAGCAAAAATTAAATCAAAGTTGACTTGCTGAAGTCCTAAACTTTCTGAATGAAACCCTTAAGAACCCTTAAGTTCTAAATAAATAACAATTAGGTAGTCTTACAAGGAATGGGAGTTAAGGATTTGTGAAGCGGGATTGGTCATTTTATTCTGTGGCTTGTTACATTTGCTGACTATCAACTAATTTACTAGGATTTCATCAAGTCTTATACAAAGTCAAAATTGTGAAGATCATTCTATCAGGGATGGAACCAGCAGAATAACCACTGCACTATGCAAGGGCATTTTTCCAATTTAACTTAAACCAATAATAGTATTTATAAAATAATTAATGAAGACTGAAATCACTGCTAGTATACAAGAATGACTGCAAAATATAAAATTTAATTAGAATGTCTTATTTGTGAATAAGACATGAATTCAATCTTTTTTATGAGTTTTTGTAGAGAATGATTTACCCTCTTTCTAACAATACATATTTGATCACTTACATCTTTTTAAAGTTTTGCTTATATTCCTTAATAAGGCATATATATCCATCATAAGAGATCTTAAACAGCAACTGGGCTTTACTGATAGTGTTTAAATTATTTTGTGTTTAGCTTCACTTCTAAATAGTTTACAGATTTTCATAAACAAAAACCTAAATTAAATGACTAGGGGATGAATTGGGATCAATTTTGTTGGTAATTCCTTTTTCATTTCTTCAGTAACTGTCATGATTTCTGGGGTTACCAATTTATTGCAGAGATATTTTGAGAGATGTATATTTATAAAGAGGTAAATGTAAGTGAATGTGTCTTATTGAACACGTTGGTTTGTTTTCATGCAGCATGTAGTCCAATGCATAAACAGGACATCTGTTGGGGTAAAAGAAAAAGCAATAAGAAAGACATGACCCCTAGCTAATCAAAATAATGCCTAGTCTCAATTCTGTCTGTGTCTCTGGCTGATTATAAATATAGGGCAACAAAGTGCATATGGTTGACCCACACTGTCAAAATCACAAAGGTTCCTGATAACAATGCTGCACTAATGTCATTCTCACCCTTTTATATTATTTTTTTTCTTGTTTTTACTTTTTTTTTTTTTAATAATAATGATTAGCATTTAACAAAGAAAACAGTTTTTTTTTTTTTAACCCTTAATTCATAACCTCAGTGTTGGACACTTTGACATGGTGTAATGGTTAGCAAGTTTGTCTTGCTAGATCAATTAAAACTGAGTGGTGAGTTCAATTCTCATTGAGTGTCCCATGCTTTTAGCCTTGTGCCAAATCTAAGCTATGTTTAGAAAATCACCATAATTTTTTTTTTTTTTTTAAATGGTTGTAGATGAAATTCTAAAATTACCATTATCTGTAATTTTTCTCCCCCCCCCCCTCTTATGCTGATGAAAATATCTCAATTTCTTGCAGATGTTTAAATTTTTTTAAATTATTTTTGCAGGGCATTTTACAAATCCAAATCTTGAAATGTTATAAATGAGGAACTACAAAAACGACAGAAGAAAGTCAAGGAAAACCTGCTACTGAAGCATATCTGATAATCCTTGCTGACCTGTGATCATAGCCACCTGGAAGTATTTTTTTTTTTTTTTTTGTATCAGTTGACACTAACTACCCCCCACCCCCAGCAAGACTACACATTTACCTATGATGTCTTGTTATTCATTTACCTGTTTCCTTTTATTTATGTTATAAAGGGATGCAGGTTTTCGTTCGTTGTTGAAAAAAATTGTAAGGTTACCGTATTTGATATTGTCAATGGATTGCGAATTTTGATTAGATTAATTGCTGCTGACTTTTGCTTTTATCAAATTCTTTGTTTATCACTAACTTTCTAAATCATCACATGAAACAAAAACAAATATACATCAATCTAACAAATTTATCACCACAAATATGTCCATTAATTTATCACAAATCCATTTGAACATTTCTTCTCTTCATACCAATATTCTAGGGTGTTTTATCCTGAATAAAAAGCCTTTTCCTCCAGAAGTTTAGTTTATTTTTTTTTTTTTTTTTAGTGGAGAAAGTTTAAGTATTACCATTTTTGTGACGTTCAAGTTATAGCAACAAAAAAATTTCATCATTTTTGCAACATGTAAATGATAACTTTTTTTTTTTTTGTGTATGTGGCAGGGGGGATGAATAAAATACTTTTTTATTAAAAAAAGAAAAATCACAACCATAAAAGTCAATGTAAATTTTAATTTAAAAATTGGATGCAAAATATTAAATTAAATTTGATATGTATTAAGAAAAAGACAATTGAGAAAAATATCACCAGTTAAAAATATTTTGAATTCTGAAATGTTTTAGTTAAATTTATCTCACAACCATGAAAAACAAAAAACCCTGAATTACAAAAGGCTTTGACATTTTCAATTCATACAAGGATCAGATCATCCTTGTTTCATACAATATATAGTGTAATATATTTTTACCACTTTCATTATTGCACACATTAAAAAAAAAAAAAAAAAAAAAAAAAAAAAAAAACGACTTTCACTTTCCACATTCAGTTTGATAGGTTTAAAATAAAATTGAATACATACACACAGTTCTCCTCCATTGTGTTCCCAACTATGAGCCACACATAGGAGTGTCATTGCTAACTTGTCCTACATTAACAATCTTTTTATGCAGGAAAAACATAATTTGACAATAAAAAAACTGAAAGACAAAATTTCTGACAAAAAAATATTTAACAAATAAGATTTGTTACTAGAATGATAAATAGAAATCAAACTCTTTACTCTGACTTGAAACCAGCATCCCAACTTTGTTTTTTTTTTTTTTTTGTCAACCAGTTATGCATCAGCATCTAATGCTAATCATAAAAAGCAACATCTTCATAGATAACTTAAAATAAGAGGCACTTAAGATATAATCCTTTCTCTATTGATGAAGCGTAGCTTGTCAAATTGTATCTAAATACATGAGGTTATGTATTTGAAATGTATGTGAATAAATGCACTGGAAATATACACATTTTTTTAGTGTTTGCTAGCAAAAAAAAAGTCCACATGCATTAAACTATAAAATGCAGACATAAACCTCATCCATTTGGGTTTTTCCCTTTCAACAATGAATTTACTTTAAATGGATATTTTCACTTAGTGAGAAATTTAATTGAATTTATAACAAGAAATTGCTTGGGTGCAAGCTTTTCAGCTGTCCTCATAACTTTTGTAATTATTTCAGTTTAATGTATCTGTTACATTTAGAGTAAGTGACAAATTTTTCTTTTTAAATCATACTGGATGTACCTAGCAGGAAAAAAAAAAATTACCCCTTTTCTTCTGACACTTGAAACTTCAAATAATTAACTATGCTGAAAACAATACCATAGATTTAAGCATGCAGCTTTTAAAACATTTAAAAAAAAGAAAAGGGAGGGGAAAATCCTAGAAAAATTCTTTAAAATCCAGATTGTAGATATTTGAGATTTGTTGCCTGTTGTGATTTGAAAAATAAAATTTCAGTTACAAATAAATTAAGAATTTCATTGTGCAGCCCAAATTTTTTCATAATACCCGAGTGTCTTGTAAACCAAAAATCTAAGTATCTGTATCATACCATGTTGGAAAAATATTTCTTATAAAGTTGTGGATGATGCTTCTGAAATTGTTTCAGCTTGTGTTTTTTGTCCTTTAGGCTTAATTTCACATCATCTATTAAAGAATTCATCATCTGCACAAGACTGCTGGCAGTAGACTGGGAAGTTTGCAGTTCATAATCAGAAACACTCAAAGCTTGACTGAATCGTGGAGCTGGAAAAAAAGAAAAGAAATTATGTAAAGAAATATTTCATAACATACCTCAAAACAATCTTACATAGTCTACACAAATAAGGTTTCGTTGAAATTTAGTTACACACCCTAGTGTGTGTATATATAAAAATTGTTTTTAAAAGAAAAACAGACCACTTTAAGGTACTATTATAATAATTTATTTCACCAGAGCCCTTTTAAAGGACGCCGGATCATCAGATAGCACTTCCAAAAATTTTTCGTTTCATTTCATTTTTGGAAATGCTATCTGATGATCCGGTGTCCTTTTAAAAGGGCTCTGGTGAAATAAATTATTATAATAGTACCTTAAAGTGGTCTGTTTTTCTTTTAAATATTAGCTCTGGATTTACATTGAGCTCTCAGGATTTCATCCTCCTTGGAATTACCAAGTTCTTCATAACTTATATGTGTGTGTGTGTGATTGAATATCATATCTATCCTCAAATACACTGAAGATCATTAAAGAGACTGAATTAAAATGTCCAACTTACGCTGATATGGAACAAGTGTCCCTGACTGTATTTCTACAAGAATCCGGTCAATTTCATCTTGCAAATATTTGGGGGGTGACTTAGTAAGGAGTGCTTGATTGTCAAAAAAGAAACTGACAACAATGACAGCCAGTTCATGGGCAAGGAGAGGATGACGAAGTATGCTATCTGTGAACACTTGAAGGACACAATGACTGCTGTACATCTGTAGAGAGTAGAAAAATATAAAAGAAAGTTTATTAGAATATTTTAAAAATATTACAATCACGAATACTTAATTAGTCTCTTAAAAACAAACTCCATACGATGTAATGAAGAAGACAACATGGAAGACTCATTTAAAAAGTCACTTTTGTAACCCATTAATGACCATCATCCTATGTGGGGAGGGGGGCAGTGGACATTAATAAGATTTTTTTTCTTTATATAATTAAAAGTGATTTAGAAAAAGATGACAAACTGGAAAATTTCTTGTGATACATTTTATCCATTACAGTTTCATCAGACTGGGTTTTGTTGATATTGCCACATCTACACATGCACAGGAAACAATACTGAATTTTAGAGTGGGCATTAATGCGTTATTAACTTAAGTGAGAGGAGTTCTTGGCATATAGTTTGCAATTGGTTAATTTGTTTTTATGGCTTACCGACTCTTTGTGGATTATTTATAGTTAAAACATACTTTGATTTGTAAATTATGTCTTTTTTCTATGTGAATACATACACATTGTTTTTGTTGAGGCAGGACTAGGATTAATCTTGCACAAAGTCAGGTGGGTCTTGCCTAACAAAGGATTTATCATAATGATTTGAGGCAAGGTTTTACAAGGTTCGATGCTCTTCCTGACACTCAACTCAGACACTTACGGTAGTTCAAGTATACAGAGTTTTATTGAGACACCATCTCTAGGAAGGTTGCCGCTCAAGTCTTGAGGCTCCATTCTTGCCTTATGTTGGCTCCTATGAAAAACTCATCTGTACTTTGACAGGTCTTGTTTTTGGTCCTGTGGGGTGACATACCAACCACCCATCCATGCAGCAAGTCGTACTGGGTTACATGTCTTGAGAATAAATTATTTTTTCCAGATGCAATTCTTACTATTAAACCAATACCTGGATGGGATGAATTAATACTTTCCCCAAGAGTATTGTAAGATGAGTATCTTCCCCAAAGTTATTTTGGAGTTTAAAATTAATGACTGAAGAATTCTTATATGCTGACTAGAAATGTGTTAAAAAAAGAAAAAAACAAAGATTTTTTTTAAATAGAATTAGTTCCTTCAAAAACAGTTTTTTTTTTTTTTTTTTTTTTTTGATACCCCGTTTTATAACTGATAGAAATATCTGTTATGTGGTAGTTAAATTACTTGCACAAACTTTTTTTCTTTTTTACCTTTATTAACTGGTCCTATCTATGTGCCATAGGTGACTTCATATATATTACTAAATATTTTGATTCAATTCATGTTTTAATGAATTGTACAGAATGTATATTGTGTTCATTACATTCACTTATGTGCAAATATCTTCTCCCTAATCAGTCATGAATCAAGAGACATATGATCACCCAAGCACGTATCATTTATAGCACTTCGCTGACCGACACGTAGCATTGTGATGGTTAACGAAGGGGGATCTTACAGAACAATTCACTTATTAATGGAGACACAATTCTAATTCTTCAGTTTGTGTTGTTAAACACTAAGAATTTCAATTTTGACAATATTAACATAATGAAATTTTTAATTTCTATAAGTTTGTAATCGTCTTACAACTAAATGAAGATGATCACAATTCTGACTTGTCATTTTGGTTGAGAGTTGGTTTTAGAAAGAATGCCATCAAGTTGGGTAACTTTCATGAAAAGTGTCAGTGAAATCAAACTTTAAACAAAAAAAAACAAACTGTTCTGAAGCCCAGTAAGAGAGCAAAACACTTTTTCAAATTTTTTTTTTTTTTACTTCTGAAATAATTTAATATTTACTGCCTTAGCTATGTTCTGTATAAAATATTTACCATTTGTGTAGATGACATTTTCATTTGCAAAAAGGTCCTGAGACATTTATGTAAAAAGATGGCTCCCAAATTTTCTTAGGTTTCTTGCACTTGTGTTAGCTTATTAAAATGTCAAAGCTAGCCATAAGCAACTTAACCTTGATTTAAATATAAATTCACTGGCTTATCAAAGTTACCTGACATTGTCAGTAACTTTGATAATGGAAAATGTGTAATCTGTGATCCAATCGAAAGCTATTACTATTGACTGAAAACTTATCAAAGTTATCCAGCCCAGTGGCAATAAGTTGAATAAATAAATTTTGTTTTTCTTCAATCAAACAAGAACCATTTCATTTGACCACATTCAATCAAGGACAAGCAAAATCTGAACAAAATCTCATCTTCCTAGTTACATGCCGTGGTTATGCTTGTATGGATTTATTTTTTTTTTTTTTTTTTCGTAGTTTATCAACCCTTTGTAGGTTATTTAAAGCTGAAACATTTTGGGTTGTAGGACTATAATTCTTGGCAAGTGAATATTGCACTGACAATATTTTGGAGATAATGATTTTTTTTTTTTTTTTTTTTCAGACACAAGTCTTACTATTTAGCCCATAGCTTGGGTGGGGGATGGATTCATACCTTTCCCCCCAGGGTTTAGCACATAAGTTAATATAAAATCCACATGCTGTGATTAACTGGTTACTTTATTTTTAAACTGCATTTTTATAGTTAAACCTATTTAATCATTTTCCACAAAATCATATAACCTGATTCTGTGTCTTGCTTTCATTCAACAATATATAAACCTGGTGTTTTCTTTTGAACATGATACCATAAGATTATGTGGTCAAACCATGCTGTTCAATAAATTAAAATATACAAGAATATTTTCTCCCCTCCTCTTTCTAACCTTATATATTCTCAGTAAGAAGGGACTTCCCCAACCTCCTGTCATTATTAAATTACTTTTTGCTGTTTTTAGCCATATGTACAAAATCACAAATTGCACTCTTAATCCCAGATGATTAATCTATAATCTGTTATAGATTAATAAGCTTAACTGTGGTGACAGGAGAAATGCATTTTTACTTATATCCACATGAGGACATTGTTACAACTTAAAATAAAAAACAAAACAAAATGCTGTCATCAAATCATATATAGAAAATATTTTCTCATACCTGACTGCACTGTTGTAGCTGTTCATCAGAGACAACAAATTGTATGAATTTAAAAAGCCGTATCAGCTTATCCTTGTGATATTGGGCTAAAACCAAAGAGTAGAGATGAAATGCCAGTTTGGCTTTTTCCTCTTTTCCATGAAGGATCATATTACAAATGGCCAAGTGGAAATCTACATCCCACTCAGAGAGGAGAGTCTTTTCCAGGTTAGTGTGAACATTAAGCACCATTTCAAACAGGTGACGTTTCTCATCTACAGACAGGGGTACGCAGAAACCTTCCCTTCGCAAACCAGGCAGATCCTGCGATGAGGTGGCTATGCAGTCCATAGCAGCAGTCAAAAAAGCATCATGAGCTTTTTTGCCAAACATGGGTGACGTGCAAGTATTGAATGTGGCCCCAAAGTTTGTCCAGCCAAATGCACGGGGGCTGCTGTCTCTGTACAAATGTGATAGGAACCCATCAATAATTGGAACATCCAGAATACGAAGCAGTTCACACAAGGCAACTTGTTTTAGCACATCTTCTTGAACTGAAATTTGAAAAAAATAAAAATCACAATTCAATTCAATAAATAGGGCAGTGTGTATTTAGTCAACAGATCACTATAGTCCGTATTCTTACCATGAAAAATACTAGTTTTATTATTAATGCAATGTTGCTGCTTTTGGCTATTTAATGTTTTGCAGAGGAAATCCTCCTGGTGTCAGTTTAAACTTACACTCATCCCCCCCATATTGTACACATTTTGATTGAAATTTGTATTTACTTTATTTCAGATGAAAACTTGAAAATTTTCCCAAATATTTATTTTAGTGCAATTTTCACCTTCATTTTCACCTTCCAAACTTAAAAATTTACAATTATAGTTTAGATCGATGGGTTAAACTGACACCTTTTTTTTCCCCCCCATACGTCATGACCATTTTTGCTTAAAGTTTGGATTTTCTTGATTTAAAACAGAAACTTTGAAATATTCCAACATATTTTACTGAAATTTTCACTTTCCAAACTTATAAGTTTATAATTAGTTTTAGATATATGGAAAAAAAGAAGTCAGTTTAAACTTACACTCACAGAATATGGGTAAAACTGACACCTTTTTCCCCTTATATTTTGTTTAAAGTTCTCATTTTCTTGATTTCAAATGAAAAGTTAGAAATTTTCCAACATATTTCAGTGAAATTAAAACTTTATAAAATTAGTTTACTAACAATACCTATGAACTTTTACAGTTTTGCTATTTAAATTTTCTAATGAATCATAATTCTTTAATAATTGTATAAGCTCCTTGTGAGTTCTACAATTCCCTTATTACATTGTTTGTTAAATATTTGAGCTCAACAACTTTAACAAAATATTGCAATATGTCATAAGTATGAATGAATAATGCCATTATTTAAAATAAGAGGGTGCAAAATGAAAAGAGTAAAAAATGACATTTTCCATTTCAGTAAAGCTGACATTAAATAAATTATTGGCACCTTCATCTTCTCTATTTGTTTTCTTTTTCTCACTAAAACCAAAAAGCATCTGTGTTTTTTTCCCCCCATATTTCCTTACAATCATAATGGAATAGTCCATTATTTATCTGAGGTAATGGCAGGAAGTAAGGCATGTACTAATTATCAAATGGAAGAAGAAGCAGAATTATGATAATTAAAGCTTAAATATAAGAAACTAATTTGACACTAAGTGGCAATAGATGAATAGAACTTTGTCTCAAAGATACAACTAGTAACCTTGACAACACAAGCTCCACCTTCCCACTTGGGGAGAATAGCACAAAGTTATGGCAGAATTTCAGCTCTCCTCCCCTAAAATGGTGCATGACTTGATCTGCTTATTTATGTAAAGAGTTTAAGTGAGAGGAAAAAAGAAGAGAGCTTATATTTAAAACCACAACTTCTAAATTGTAATTCTGAGAAGCAAAATTCTCTTATTCATTTCCTTATCCTCAACTGAATATATTTGCAACAGAAACAATTTTTTGGGGATTTGGCCCAAAGTTCTTAGTCATCAGAAAATGGACATATATATGCGAACATGTCTAGTTGGGTATAAAAGAACGGAGAGTGGAAGGATTCCCCTTGAAATTATTTATTTTAAAAGTAAACACAAAATGAATTTTTTTTTATTCATCTAACAATAGTTGAAATAAATTTGGAGGAGAAAATGAAAAGAAAAATATAGACTGAAAGTAGATATTATATTCCTTCCCAATAAAATTGAGTTAAAAAGAAAAAAAAAGTAAATTTTATTTCAAATTGTTTTCATTTTGTCTTTTTTTAAAAGAAAATATCAAAAACTAAATCCTTGTTACATTGTCAATTTCAGTAAGTAAATAGCTTTTTGTATTAATGACTTTGGTATTACCTTGCATCGGTGCTTTCATAGGGTGTTTCACAAGAGGAGTATTCTGACACAGCTGAATTGATCCAGTGCTTCGAACTCTCATAATTGTAGGTCGAGGACTTGGCTCTTCAGGATTACAAATTATACTTGGATCCATGGATTTACGTCGAGGCACTGGCCTGGAAATTAAAATAATTTCAAAGATTTATGTTAATATAAACAAATCCAAATTTAAAAATGATTACCTCTTTTACACTATTGAAAAATAAGAATTACCATTCTGGCCAAAATATATCTGAAAGTGTTAAAAACCAAAAAGAAAGCACCTTCTACTGATATCCATCCTCACCAATTCAATTAATGTATAATGAATAAAAACTTTTTTTCGTTTCCTGTTAGCTTGTAATCAATACAAGTCTTTGGATTCTGAAAATAATACAACTGATTTTTATTATTAATCCTTTCAAGATGGGCAGAAAAGTTTCTTTTCATCATTAAATGACATTAAGAATGTTTTAACAAACTTCATAGAAAATGTTTTTGATTGTGAATATAAACAGCTATCATATCAGCTTCCTTTTTTTTTTTTTTTTTTAATCAAACTGGGATATTTTTATTTATTGATTCAAGTTCTGAAGAAAAAATATAAATAAGCAACAGCTTTGGCATATTAAACTTTTTTTTTTAATTATAAGTAAAATGAGTGACAGGCATAAAATGAATTGTGCAGTTTATGGAGAAGGTGTGGGGCAAATGACTGAATGTGTCAGGGGTGGTTTGTAAAGTTTTCTGTTGGTGCTCTTCATTTGACCTTGAAAGCAATTAAATCAAGACATTACTTGAGATTAATCAATGTTAGATAATGTGAAAGATAACAACATACTCGAAATATTTTAATCAAGTGTTGAAAATACCAAGTATCAGCTTGGTTATATTAGTTGCTTTAATGTGAGACTTCCACCTTTAAAAAAAAAATACAGGACCATATTTCTAGGTGTAATTTACTACTTAAGCAAGAAAAAGTTGAATACATTAAACCAATTATGATAACCAATGAAAAGTGGATACTTTACAACAATGTGGAATGCAAAATATTCTTTCAAAAACCAGTCTTCATCCAAAAAAGGTGATGCTATCTAAATGTTTGGATAAGAAAGAAGTCCTCTACTCTCTTCTACAGAACCAAACAAGTAAGCTGTTAACCCAATGATTGTTGATGAAACAAACATACGGTGGAATTTAAGATAAAAATTCCCTAATTAACATCTTTCCGCCTTGGTATCGAGGAAAGAATACAGGAAAGATGTTAACTAGGGAAATGCAAGGTGAAAATAATTTAAAATGTATGACAAATAGAAAAAGAGTTCCAAGTTTTTGTCACAACTCTATAATTCAAGTTATTTGCCTTGTACTTCATCCACCATATTCAAATCTCTCTTCAACTAGGTGCCAATTTTTAAACATGTGTAGCTCAGTTGGGAAAAATATTGTGATTGGCTATTCTCATTAGCAAAAATGTGTCCAAATTGTTATCCTTGATGGCCTCAAAGTCAAAAGTTTGAAAGTACTTTCTTTCAGGAAGACACAAAATGGACATTTTGGTTGTTGAATCATTCTTGTCCCTGCTTACACTTTCTCAATTAGAAATCTATTTATAAAACAAATGATAGATTTTTGAAAAACTGATTTGCCAGGCATTTCACTTTAAGCTTATTATTATGAGTAACCTTCATTGAGTGTCCACTACAATAGTCTGACACAAGGTTATGGTAGTGGACACTCAATGAAGATTATTCTTGATAATAAGATTAAAGTAAAATGCCTGGTAAATCAGTTTTCAAAAATCTAAAAGTGTCAGACTAAGCCAAACTTGAACTTTATTAAGGGTGCTGCAGAAGGTGTTTCTTACCAGCAGAAATATTGGGTTCATGTCTGAATCAATAAAAGCTTATTCAGTAGTAGACTCCAAATACTTCAGAAATATTCCATAAATCAAGTAAAGTTCAAGTGACTTATCTAGTTAACCAACTCATCATAGCCAGATGTTTGATAAATCTATTGAACATGTGTGTGTATATATACACACACATTATATATATATATATATATATATATATATATATATATATATATATATATTTATTTCTTTAAACAAATAAATTCAAAATATATCCAGTTTAATCCATTTTCTAAAATATACATGGTATAGAAAATTAGAAATTGCAGAATCGGCTGATCTATTTAATTTACTATACTTAAAAGCTCTATATGTTAAACTTTTATCTTTTTATATATGTATTGAGCACTTTTTTTAAAATACAACTGTTCCCTGGTCTTATTCAACTCTGACCATTAACTTCTTATATACATATATATATAAACCTTTTCTAATTAAATAATGCCATAGTTTTATTGCATTTTTTATTTTATGATTCAGAGCATATTTTTAGTAACTATCTCCTGTTTGAGAAAAAAAAAGAAAAAGGAAATTAATGATTTAAATTCTCCAAGGGGTAGGGTTGAGATTGCAATTTAATTTCTTGAAATTAATTTTTACCAGGATTTTCTAAAAAAGAAAAAAAAAATTTTCAAAAATAATTTCATTCATTTGTGAATAAGTTCTGAAAGTTTCATTAAAATCTAACAATTACTTGATTTTTGGAAGAATTTCCCAAACAATGTTTTTCACCTGAAAAAAAATTTTAAAAAAGGGCACAAAAACACTGATTGTAAATATTATGTCAACCGCTGATGTAAAAACAAAAAAAAACAAAACAAGATTTTTAACCAAAATTTCAAACATGCTAGAAAGTATTAAAAAATTTAATAGAATACTTTGGTCTTTCCTCTTAATAATAACAAGCATTTTGATGATAAAACTTTGTATTTATTAAGTTTGGGGCCTTTTTTCATCAAAGGAGATACCTACTGTATGAGCCCCCCCCCCCCATGAGAGTGATAGTCTCAGTTGTAACAAATGCATATAAAGATGCACTCTCCTAATGTCACCATGTAGTTGCTTCTCGTATTTGCTGTCACAGTGCGGTGACACTGGAGTGTTTTCTCCAGGGTACAGGGTTTTATGAGAGATCCAGATTAATCTCTAAAAATGATATTTTTAGAGATTAATCCATTTATTTCATCCATTATCTTTTTTCTGAGTAGTTCATCCCACAATGCCAGCTTTGCTCTCCACCCATTACACAGAAACATGAAAACGAGATTAAAAACACACGTTATAAGAAGTGACAATTCAGCAAATGTAACCTGTTTAGAAATTAGGTGAGTTGATTAATAACTATCAGCAACAAAGAAAACTGGTCAATTACTCAGCAAATTGTCTTGTATTTAAATGATATTCTTCTTTTTGGTCTTTTAAAGCATTTCTTTTACTTCTTAACTCATCTCATCGTGACCATAAAATGAACTAAGATTTCCTTATCAAGTGGTTCCATAACAAGCCTCTCCAGTTCAGGACGTCTCCTTATGCCTCTTTATATTATAACTGAAAACAATATTTTAGTTTTTAGACACACTTATTAATTTTTCATCAGTACAAAAATGTTACATAAACAAAATAACCAAGAAAAGAAGTGTGTATAGAACATAGATATAAATGAAAAATAATCAGTCTAGATTATATATGATCAATGCAAATTTGTGTGATGCAACCATCTACCATACATAGAGATCTGCCTAGGATGAAGCCATTTTGAACACGGATTGGGCAGTCTAGGCAGTACTTTGTGACCCAAAATTTGCTTTTTTCTAACTAAATTTAAATTAAACTAATTACAACCGACTATTGAAGGATGAAAAATTTTTGCAGATTTTGATAACATTCTGGGGGGGTCTTTTTTCTTTTCTTTTAACAACAGGTTAAATGTGGCATTAGTCTTCTGTGCCCCATCACATCTCCCTTACTCTGAAACTAATTTGACACTAAGTGGCAATAGATGAATAGAACTTTGTCTCAAAGATACAACTAGTAACCTTGACAACACAAGCTCCACCTTCCCACTTGGGGAGAATAGCACAAAGTTATGGCAGAATTTCAGAAAAATATGAAAATTGTGATGTAGTAGAGTGGGAAGCCATATATCATAGGTTGTGGGGAGAGGAGACCCTTGCAGCAGCCCTGCTGTCATCAATAATGGATATTACAGCTGACAGCAGGGTGATAATAGTGATGCTTTTCCTTATTCTGTCATCAAGTCTCAGAACACCAACTCTAGATTTGTTATGGCCTCATAGCTCACTGACAAAAATTTGACCGGCTGTGTAAAAATATGATTGTACTAAAAGTTTTACGTAGAACTTACAGTAAGTAGATAATAAAATTGTTTGAACCTGACTTCCGATCATGAATCAAAAAGAAACATGATCACCCAAGTGCATCACGTCTGCCAACACGTATTGGGTCAGCAGAGTAAGGTAGTGATCCATTCCTCGCCATAAATCTGGGGATGGTTTGTGTCCAACAAAAAAGACCTTCACAGGTAAGAAAGAAAGAAACTGCCTTCAAAGATGAAGTAATTCACCACTGAACAAAGTATTTCATATAAACCTCTCAACAATCATTGATCTGTGCAACCACATCACCAACTCTATAGTGGCTCATGGACCCTGATCATGAGGGGTTTCGACACCATCGCAATATTCTCATATACCTGTATAGGTTTCCTAGGAATGATAGTTCCTGATGGTGCCGCCCAGTGGCAGGACTTTTTAAAAAATGTTGTGTATCCCAGAGCAGAATTTAATTCCACCATGGGACTGTGGTAACTTTCTTTTCCAGGATTCAAACTTGAATGGGGATCGCAGATGAGAGGGTAAATGCCAAGGAAAATAACAAACACCATTGTCAAGTAGAGGTTTTATAGAAACTATCTCACTTGTTGGCTATTGTGGCATGTGGGGGCTTCCTTACATTGCTCAATTCAGCAGCAGCAAAGGAAGTAATCAGCAGCACACAACCAGAAGACTCAAAACCCATAAAAATGCTGACCAAGTCCTATTCAGCCCCTTTTTTATTCTCCTTTTCAGCAGCCTCTACCTGCAAGGCCAGCTTTTCGTTTACAGTGGCCACAACCTTTATGCCTAGATTTCTTTTCCAATTTATCTTTACAGTGGCTGTAAGCGTTCTGAAAGCAAAGGGAATATTTGTTGCAGGTTACTTCCACAACACAGAGAACAAATCACTGTAAGTTCAGACTTGAGTATCAGAGGCAGAAAGAAATGCCTAAAACTCGATTCGCAGGTACTGTCTAACAAATCACAATGCATGTAACCAGTCAGAAAAATAACTCACTCTCTGACAAACACAGTAGCCAAAATACACAAATTGTCCCCGATTCAAGAACACCAACTGCTTTTATCGACCGAGCATTTTTACCATTCAACAGCTGGGAGAGAATGCCTAATTTTTGTATATCAAAATACTTTTATAGCGACTCCTGCGATGGACTTGTTTTTTAATTTAAATATTCTGTCTTCAGCATGTTGTGTGGAATACGTGCCCTTTTTCTTTGGTAAGTAATTTTCTTTTTCGCCACATTTTCCGTCGTAGGATATATGCGACGCGCTGTCGCTTGGTTTGACGAGGTAAATTTAAAGGGCTACTCAACCCTTGCTGCAGAAGACGAGGCCTGTCTTGGCAGCTTGACTGAATATTCTGTTGTGTTGTTGCTGATACAGCTATTTCAAGCCTTGTGTTTTATTCATTCCACTCTCACTGCCAAGTGCATGCTCACACATAACTGGTAAAAATTTCTATAGTTTATTATTATTATTATTACTATATATATATATATATATATATATATATATATATATATATATATATATATATATATAAACCAACACCCACATCAATACATGTTGTAATGTAACAGATGATTATTCCTTTATTATTGCTATTATATTTCATACTAACTTGTAATAACACATATATGAACACCATTGTTAACTACAGGTTTATTATGATGATATATGTATATAAATGAGTATGTAACATGATTTAGCTTGCAGGCATTACTCTCTACCTAACAGAAGAGTGATTTGAGGCATTGATATTACCTTGGTACTATAAATAGCAGTCCTACATGGGAATGTATAGAAAAAAATGAGTTCCATCTGTTTTTTATATGTTCATCGAAAGCTTAACAGAAGTGTAAATTCTGACTACAATTGAGAATTGGAACAAAACTAATCAAAATGTTTTTTGTTGCTTAATTTTATTAAGACTCGAGTCGTATACATCCTAGGCAGTAACAATCATTTACCCAATGACTCTGCTCAGACCAGACTGAAGTGTTGGTTATCATCTAGCAATGAAATTTGCAGAATGGGATTAACCCAGATATAATTTTTCATGACAATCCCATCTGGTAACTTTTTGAGAACGCACAAACCTGTCATCAAGCCTGGGAACCTCGAAGTTTTACTGCTTTTTCATTAAGTTGTCCCAGGTTACAATCCTCTTAGCACCCTCATCATCTCATTTTATAGGTTTAGACCCACGTTTTTATCTCGTTCTAAATATATTAAAAGGTCAGTCACTTCCTCAAGTTTTTCTGTCTCCTACCTTTAACTAGATCCTGCCTCAAATCAACATCCAGCCGAAACCTGCACTAATATCAATCACATGAATTTATTGTTGTATTAATTCTTTATAAAGTCAGTCATAGAAAAAGTTTCTGTAAACAAGAATAAAAAAACATAAAAAAAACAATCCATGTTGAAACGTAATAGTTTATTATTATTATTATTATTATATTTCATGTAAATCTCATACTAACCTGTAATAACACATGCAAATTTGAGAACAAGTTGCAGTCCTCTCTGATATATGTCTTGAGCTATCAATGAAGATATTACAACTGACAACACTGTATATGAGTGCCAATTGTTAACTATGCTGACTCTTGTGATCCTGCCAAGGATTGAACTCACCATCTTTGGTTAACAAATTTCTGAAGATATTAGACTTCCACTCCCCAGCTTAACGGATGTGTTCCAAGCAGTAGCAGTAACAGGCTTGTCTCCCTTCGTGTCAATGTTGATTTAACCATTAAACATTATTTAAGTTTATTGAAATTTCTCCTCAGTGTGAAATTTTCTATTGTTGCTGTCACTCAGTTTATTGACTGTTTCATGACCAATAATATTGTGGTTTCATTTATTCTGCCATCAAGTCTGACAAAATATCCCAAAACGCCAACATAAAAGAAACATTTTGTCTGAATTGCTTGAATTTACAGCTTTGTTGTTGTTATGACAGTGTTTCAGCTGTTGTATTCTCTGGCCATCTTCAGATGTGAAAGAGGGAGGGGGGAAACATCAAGAAACTCTTGTATAAAAAATGTATATCTTTTTTTGCCTGGATATAATCTCATTAACAGCAATTCCAAATTATGGTTTTATTTGATTGCCTAATTATAATATATTGTTTATATATATATATATATTTCGTTTTCACAACACTTGAACATTTTCATTGTTTTCTTGCGTTTACATTTTAGAAGAAAATCAGGAATTGAAGCAATTAACAAAAACTGATAATCAGAATAAAAAATTTACATTGTTAGTTCCAATCTGTTTGGAATGACTGTGAAGAACATACCCCTCCCCAAATTTCTAGATCTCATATTTCAGAATGGTATTGCCACTTGACTGTACCCCTTTTGCATGTGAACACCATTCTTACTTTGTGAACATTTTGCCTTATTACTGTTGCTTTGTCTAGTTTTGACTTCCATATACATTGTTTGCTCCGTATTATTTTGCCCTGTTCTTTTTCTTATTGTTTATTGAGAACTTTGTCAATTCCACTTGTTGATAATTTTGTCAATTACACCATGGCCAATTACTCCACATAAATATTGTAATGTTTTTTTTTATAAAGTGAGGTTCACCCTGTACAAGGCCCAGGAGCTACTTGAGGTAGAGGTTTACAAAGTAAGGGGCACAGTTTATGTGAATAGGTGGGGGGAAAATAATGGTTAACCTTGAACAAGTTAAGATTGTAGTGATCGGTGAAGCATCCTCTTGGGAGTTGGTTCCACAGAGTAGTGGTTCGTGGGAAGAAGCTGCTTGAATGGAACTTATATCTCACCAATGGAATATGAAGGGAATGAGATTGGTTTGCTACAATGTGCGTAACATGTTGGGTCCTAGCTGTAAAAGTTAGAATTGGTGGAACTAAGAAATGTAGTTCGTCTGAGCACTTTCCATGAAAGTAGTGATAGCGCAGTGAGAGACTTGCTACATCTTGTCTGTGAGAGAAGGGTTGCATGACAGAAAATAATTTATCACCCACAAGGTCGTAGAATTACTTTTGGATGCTATCGAGACTGGAAAGTAAGGACTGGCAGCTATATCATTTTTGACTCTGGAACACATTTTACCACAGGATATCTAGAATCAAAATATCAAGAGGATTGATTTTTTTATATGCTACGATCAAATATCAGAATTCTAAGTCTTGAAGTGCAGAGAAAACTCGTTGAAGATGAACTACAGTCAGGATGACCTGTAGGATGAACCCTTGTTAAAAGATTTCTTTTCCTGTTGCCACGTCATTAAGAATGTTGAGCTGCTTAACTCCTTTATACAACTGGATCAGCAACCATCTAGAGATTAGTCTGAAGTCATGAATGTCCACCAAACAGCAAGTGAAAAAGATATAAAATGACATAAAGATATAAAATGACACTAGTGTTGCTTACTCCAAGCTAAAACACATTTACAACACTCTAATAAAAATAAAAAAAAACCTAGGAAATGAAATTCAAATTGGTTTATATACACTATAGACATTCAGTTCAAACAAATGCTAATTTTAATTGTAGATTATTCTTCTATATCATTTTGTCAGTATCTTATGAAATTTCAATTGACACTTTACATAAGTTCCAGAGAAACTAGATGAGAAAGATTGCTTTAAGTTCTAAAATGATAATAAATTTGCTATACTTCTTTTTCATAGTATTGAAAACAAACTAAGTAATGTGGTTTCAATAACAAGAAAATTTTTATTAGGCTGTTAAAAGCCTAACATACCAGTTGAACTGCCTTAAATGGCCAAAGTGATCTGACTGCCAAACTATTTATTCATAGCTGGAAAAAGAAATGAAACACAATACTTCCTCGATTATTCATACCTCAATTTTCCAGGCTTTAATTAGCTGGATGTGAAGTAAGGAGAAGATTAGTAATCATTCAAACATTTTCCAGTTATCTGAACAAAATCTATTCTAATATTTTATTGCAGACAAGCATTTCGAGAAGTTAGAAAACAATACTCAACATACAAAATTTCAAACATCAAAGCAATAATTATTTTTAACAAGAGTTTCAGTTGATTGTGCTTTCAGCAAGACATAACCCTCATAAACAGATTAACATTAATCCAGCTTTGGGAATTAGCAAGAGGAAAAAAAATGTGCTGTCAGCTAGAAAGAGACAAAGATTGACACATTTTTTTTCTTGAAAAATAAACTGGACCAAACCTTGAAAAACACATTTGAAAATATTATTTGATGATATAAATGTTAAATTTCTTTCAGAAAATGACTTTTTCCTTCCTTCATTTTTTTTTTTTTTTTTTTATTTGATAATTTAGGTATTCAGTTATCTGGAATTTTGAATTAAATATTGCAGTATTTTTTTTTTTTTTTTTTTGATAGTGCAGTTCACCTTGTACAAGGCCCGGGAGCCACTTGAGGCAGAAGGTTAAAGAGTAAGGGGCACAGTTTATGCAAACATATTTTTTCAACCCAAGGTATCTGAATAATCAAGGATGTATGGTAGTTATTTCCCAAGGGCATTGGGAATGCTAACTGCCTTCACAAGATTTTGAACTCTGTTTAATATTTCCATTTTCCATAATGTTAACTGTTATACTCACTAAACTTCAGATTTATTTATTAATATTAATTTAATTTTAAACTAGGAGAGTTATTTCCAAACACTAAAAGAAGGAATAAAAGAAGAAAAAGACAAAAACTTACGCAGTTTCCATACTGTGATCATTTTCGCCGTCACTGTCATCGAGAGAGGACATGGAACAGTTAGGACAGGTAGATACAGTAGAAGGAACAGGAACATTGGAAATGGGAGAAAAACGGTAAAGCTTGCTAGCACTGTCTTCAAAAACTGGCTTCTTATATGTGTTGCCATAACTCTGTCGGGTTGGAGGAGGCACTGGTTCAAAGACTTTTTTGTCTAACATAGTCTGACAGACCTAAAAAGAAAGAAAACGAGAGGGAAAAGAACATCTTGCAAGAACATAAAATGATAAAAACAAGTAATGTTTTCTTATATATAAGAGACCAATCTGTTGGTAAAGCTTCCAAATATCAACTCTATCAACACAAAGCCAGTGAAATGAAATGAAAAAGAAAAGAAAAGGAAATGTAAAAAGATCAAAAAAGATAAACACCTGCCTATGCAATAACCCAAAGTGCTCAATGTCGATAGTAAACAAACCAAGATAAAACAATAACACTAATAACTAATTAAATGATCTGGACCTGGCTTTTTCTGTTTTGTTGGTTAGTGTGTAGACACACATACTATATATATATATATATATAGTGTGTGACATATACTATATATATATATATATATATATATATATATATATATATATATACACACACACACACTAGCAGTAGAGCCTGGCGTTGCCCGGAGATGTAACAGTAAGAGATAGATCAAGTATTGACCATCATAAAGACTGAAAAATAAAATTGACAAAGAATATTGTTTAAGGTTGATGGACACACATTTTTTTTTTTTTTTTTTTACGAATTGGTCAAACCCAAACTCAAACAAAAACATTGTTTTCAATCGTTATGAGTCTATTGATTGAAAAGAATTTTATTATAAACAATTGTCTTGTAAATGGAATTTTTAAAGCATTCTGAATGTAAAAATAAAGAAAAAAGTGTGCAAGACAATAAGAAACACTACCTGTCAAAAAAAAAGTGAAGTTTTGTTGAAATCGGTTGAAAAATGTAGGAAATCCGCTCCCATATATAAATGAACACACACACACAAACAACCTGGGTTTTATAATAAGTATAACTCGATATGAGTTGTCCCCCTTTCATTCTGGCAACAGAATCGTGTTTTATCGTGTTTTCAAATTGATTTCGTGCAAAAACAATTGTTTTTTTCCAATTTTTGGCACTGTCAGAACCACCGCAAGGTAATTTTACGCAGTCCTGTGAAGTTTTGTTGAAATCAGTTGAAAAATGTAGGAAATCCGATCCAATACATAAACATACAGACACACACACACACACATATTCTGCGTTTTATAATAAGTAAGATAACAGACAATAGGAAAACTGTAATATTAGCTGACACGTTTCATCCAATGTGGACTTTTTCAAGGCATAAACGAAATGAATTTATTAAAACAAATATTTCCACGTGATAGTACTTGACATAATTTTCAGTTGGCAATATGGATGAAATAGCATTTTCTAAATTCTTCCAGTTGCCAAGGACATTTTGTTTTGTTAGTTACTTTGTTTTAATAAATTCATTTCGTTTTTGCCTTGAAAAAGTCCACATTGGATGAAATACGTCAGCTAATATTACAGTTTTCCTATTGTCTTTTACATTTATAAATATTATCTTTTTCTATAGGTTAACTCTGAGAAATTTTTCATTATATATATATATATATATATATATAAGAGAGAGATGATGAGACAAAGTGAAAATCCTTTTAGATGATGCATTTTATTAACATAATGTCTGTTACACAGCTTCTAGTAAGAAAGAAAAACAAAACTGTGTGTAAGAAAAATGTGTTGGAATTTTTGAGGATAAAAAGGGCAATAAATTACCTTATCAGATCCAATGATCCAGAAAGTGAATGTCTATTAAATATATAAAATACATTCTATTCAAAAGCACCTTCAGCCCTATGTTAGTACTATTAGGCATTGTCACAGCATTAGTATCATTGCTCCATTTTAAATATTATTGATATATTATTTAGTTATTGGGTGTTCTTTCTAATTATTATAGGATAAATAAAAAAAAAAATTATCTTGTAAGTCTTGTTGTGGAGTAAATAAATTGCCTCCAATAAACTAGGCAAAATGCCTTAAATAAAGAACTCAAAGTGAGTCAGTAGAAGTCCATTGGAGTCAGAATTCTAATGGCATCATGACAAGTAGCCAGGACATAATATTATAACTGCTAAGAGTGAGTTGTAACAGTGGCGATGAAGATATTGAAACCCATAATGAATAGGAAAAAAGTACTGTTTTTGCTTTGGTGCACATGATAACAATAACAATGAGAAATGTTTTTTTTTTCTTGTGTGTAAAAAAGAAAAAAAGAAAAGATATTCTTCAAATATGGAAGCATAAATGGTAAAAATACAACAGCAATTGTTGGAACTTCAGAAATAAAATTTAATTTAAATAATACAGAAGAAAACAGAAATTTCCCCAAGTACTTTCACTTCTGATATGGTGTCAAATGCCATATTTGAATTCAGATAATAGAATTACCTTTTCTGCTAATTTAGAAGATACAAGCAAATTTTCAAAGAATGCTGTGACTAGGAAAACATGAAAAAACAAGGCTTTTGTTGAGATAATTAACACTGAAAGGTGCTGTAATTTTGTACAAAAAACCCCAAAAAAACAGGAGAAATTTGCTTTGAAGAAAAAGTAAATATTCTGACTAAAATTTTTATTGAGAAAAGTTTGTTATTCAATACTTGTTGTAATTTTATAAATCTGACAAAAGGCGACAAAGATTTTATCACACGTGTTCGAATCGTTAACAAGGAGTGTGAAAGATTTAAATTAAATGAACTGACTCTGGATATATTTAAAAGATTAATTTTCGTTCAAAGGTTAATGGTGAAAAAAGATGCAGAAATACATGCTACAATTCTAATGAAACTTGAACATAATCAAAAACACTACAAGAAATATTGGACAAATGTCAGAGAATCCTAAATCTGAGACACAATGCAGAAGACATTGAAGTCAAAGAATGTGTATACCTACAGGCTACAGAAAAATGTGGAAAAAGAAAAATTCATTCATGTTTCAGATGTGGAAGGTTTCATCTCAAAAACAAGTGTCCCTTTAAGAATTCAAAGTGCTACAAGTGTGGAAAAGTAGGGCATAAAAAGTCACTGTAAAACTAAAGCAAGGAAAAATTCTCACAGAAAAAATTTCATACACCATGTTGTTACAGAAAAACAAAGAAAATTTGTGTATATGAAAATTAATAATGTAAAAATGCAAATAGACCCTGGTAGTGATATCACAAAGCCATATGGAAAGCAAACAGAAAACCTATATTAACCTTTACCACGCTAATTTCTTTTGAGAATTGTTCCCCTGCCACTGCATTTTTTTGAAGCATTGTTTTAAAATTGTTATAACTTTCTTTGTATTGTGTGTATAGATTTTATTTTTTGTATATAAAAATGGAATGGACGAGTAATATTATTATGTAATGCATTATGTTTTGCATGCATGTTTTGATATTGAAAACAAAAAAAATTGAAACACAAAATAAAAACAAAAACTAAAAACAAATACATTAACAATTCAACATACTTTAACTTTTATTACTCCTTGTGGGGTTCTGGGCGTGCAATAAGAAACAAAACAGCTAAGAAGGCTTTCATTTTGTCAAAAAAGTGATGTGCTTCCTCATGTTTACATACGAGAAGACACCAACATTTGTTTGGTCTTTCTTTCACCTCACTATTATATTTATTTGTCTCATTAACAAATAAAGTCATTATTTCATCACTTATAAATAGATTAAATTATTCATCTTAAGAAATGCTATCAGATATATTGATGGTCACCAATAGCTTCCATAAAATTAGTCAGCCATGGATGATAGTAAACACTAGTGGTCATCATTTTCCTCCATGTAGTGATGTGGGGTTATTATCTTAGACAGCTTCCCCATCAATATCCACTTCAAAATCAATCAGAGTTTGAATCAAAGAAAAACTCCAGAATAAATACTTCATTGGATGTTGATGTGGCCATTTTTGTTTACAAATATCACGAAAAAATTAACATGGGTTTAATCAATGTTACATCTTGTGTAGAGTCTATAAATTTAAAGAATTTTGTCAAATGTTCCCAAATGAATATATTACTACCTGGCCATATCACCCAAGGTTAAACGGACAAGCAGAATGGTTTGTGGGTAATTTTAAGAGAGCTTTGAAAATAGCAAATAATGAAAAAGTAAGTGAAGAAGCACTACAAAAATCCTCGAGAGTCTACCGAATAACACCAAATCCCAATACACCATCAGCCATGTCACCAGCAGAATTTATGTTCACCAGAAAAATTAAATTGGTATTCGACAAGTTGTTACCAGGTCAAAAAGAAGAACGGATAACAAAAAGGACACAAATTTTTTCAAAATTGGTGAAAAAGTGTTTTTCAGAGGATATAAAAATGGAAAAGAAATGCGGGAAGACAGCATAAGATCATGAATTGGAAAAATGATATGACAAAAGGAAAAAAAATGGGAACACAAAAGGTATTGGAATCAGTTGAAGGTTTACTGAAGAAAGGGCCACAAGAAAGGAAGAACCTATGCAACTACCATATGATATTTTTGACGTACCAACACCCCAAGAATTCGTTGAATGTACAAGTATGGCTACAAAAAAAAAAAAAAAAAAAAAAAAAAAAAAAATCAATGTTGGCCCAAAAGGAAAGAAATACAAAGTTCAGTACATTGGCAAATTGGAGTGGGTGAATATGAAGAAATAAAATAAAATATTTACTAGTGGAAAAAATAAATCTCAAAAGGCAGGGGGTAGGATGTTGTGGAGTAAATTAAAAAAAAAAAAAATAGATTTCTACAGACATTTTTTGTCTATATTTCTGAGATGAGGTATATGGGGCTCAGTGGATAAAAGTATTGGTTAATTGATCCAAGAGTGACTTGACCCAAAGAGTTGTGAGTTCAATCCCTGGCCACAGCAGAGAGAACAAAATTTGTTGAGAAATAAACTTCATTTGGTCATATCCCATGAGATTATCTTGGTCAGACTATGAACTTTTCAGCCAAACATCATAATTCAACATGAATTCAGGTTTATTTTCTTCTTTTCTACACATCAAAGACTGCATGAGTTTAACAGCAGATGCATGATGTCCAGAAGAAAAGATCAACTTTTTTCAGTACAGACAAACCTCTCATCTATGGCCCCAACCCATCAATGGACTTCAGATGCAACAGACAAAATCTGCAGGCAAAATAAAAAAAATAAAAAAATCTTCCAAATCATCAGCAATATATTTCAAAATTTGCAGGCTTAGCATAACAAATTGTATTAGTTCTCAAAGTAACCACTTGGTGGTGGTGGCAAGCCTTTCAATTATAAACAAAGATGGGTGTACAGTATATAAAGTACGATACATCAGCACATGCAAGAGAAAGTAGCTGTGAGAAATCTATTATTTTTGTTATTTTGATTAATATATCTATATTAAGTATATATTTATTTATGCTAAATATACATGTTTATAGTATTTACATTATGATTATAACTAGTGGTAGTTACTATAGCAGTTTTATAACTCAAAAATAATCCCTTCCCATCTACGGACAATCAACTTTAACAGACCACCTCATCCCCCTATTAGTCCGTTGATGAGAGGTTTATCTGTATTTTTTTTTTTTTTTTTTTAAATATACAAACATAGAAACTATTTTTATAAGTAAAAATATATGACAGAGGAAAAACAAAAGGTTCATAGGAATTGGAATAGCAAAGGACATCTTCCAGAAACTTAAGTATTAAGAGACAGGAACATATACTTAGACACAAAGAAAACAATGTTGAACTGCTATATAATATCTAATCTCCTATATGATGGTGAATGTGGGACAATATTCTTGCAAAAGATGAGAAATGTGGTTTTACAAAACAAATACTAAGAATGCCATTGACATAACATGTGAGCAATGAAGAAGATAGGAATGACAAGGAAACTTACATTTAAAGTCAGAAAGAGTTGAAATTTCACAAACATATGAGGAAAGAGGGCTTGGAAAATTTAACACTCACAGGACATTAAAGCAAAGAAAAACAGGGAAGAAATAATGTGTACATTATTTACATGTAGGCTATTATCCTCATTTTTGTTATTGTTATAAAACTTGTCAGCCATTGTACCCTTCATCAGGTGTATGTTGAGCTAGATAACCTACAGTTTAAGCTACAGGGGTATATTGTTTTGTTCCACTGCCCATGTCTAGGGATATCTCACCTAGCTATTGTTTTAATACTATTCAGTTATTGTTCACCATGTTTCTACCGAGTCCAAGTACACTCTGCCAGGTTCAAGGATTGAACTTACAATCTTTATGCCACTGAATTAACAAACCAATGCTTTAATCCACTAGGTCATTCAAAATGAGTAACCGACTTAACAAGATTGTGTGATTGGTTGGCAAAACAAAACAAAAAAAAAAAAAAATGGCAAACAGTCAAAAGCTATTTAGAGCAATAAAAGATAAGTTATGAAGAGCTATGATTGCTCGTACCCTGAAGGGACATTGCACATAAAATAAGAAAAGAATATGTGAAAATCAACAAAAATCACTAAAATTTTCATTTCACTAACAATGAAAGAGAAAAATATCAAACTCACTTTAATTGCATTATCTCGTGATATGTTCACACTGAATGTCTCCTTGTCATTTACGAGGTATTGGTAGATGGTCTCCACAGCTGAACAACCTGTAAAGCAGTTGTTGTAATAGCGCATTATGTGACGTCGGCGCTTGACTTCGACATTTGATTTCAAATGATTTACAATTGCATTCCAAATCTCGGTGGCACGAAAAGGAGCTGCAAAGGAAAAAAAAAAATAATAATAATAATTTTAACTATAAAAAAAAAAAATCTGTAAATAAAAAACATGAAATGAGACAAGAATTGATAAAAGGAATAAGATAAAATTCTTTTTATTCAACTTCTTTTTCTACCCTTATAAAAATTAAGACAAGTCACATTTGAGATTGAGAAGAACAAGTACTCAGAGATGCCTAATACTAAGGGGGAGGGTCTTAATGTTTAGGTGATGGCCGAAATTTTTTATAATATATAATAAAGGGCTAATAATGTAAGCAGGTTGGAAAATCAGTTAAAAGATTCAAAGTGGGAAATTACTAACCAGTATTGTCACAAAGTCAGGAAGTTGGGGGTCATAAAATTTTTTAAAAAGTACTACTATTAGGTTCCTTTGAGTACAAAAATATTAACAAAATCAACCATGCATTCTTAGCAAAGTAATCGCAAATAAATATAATTATTTATGTAATCATGGCTCTCCACAGCTTCCTTTATATCTGTGAATTACCAGTGGATTGGTTTCCTGTTGCCTTCTCCATGATTTTCAATTCAGAGTTTTCTTTCTTCTAGGCAGGCTGCCATCAAAAGCTAATGAGTGCAATTTCTGCTGCTATTTAACCCATAGCTGGGGGGTGAAGAGATGGATTCAGACCTTTCCCAAAAGTGTTTGTGTAGAAGTGAATGCAAGAGACTAAGCTGGAATTTGTCCTTGCCTCATAGATTCCACTGTGCTGATAACCATTATACTACCTGCACATCTGAGAAATTACAATAATTGCCAATTTATTTAAGGCACATCAAGGGTCTTTAACTTTTTAATCATGCTCTAATATGATGGAAAATGAAATAAGGTAGTAACTTATACAACTCAAGTGCCATGTCTCTTCAGGGATTAGGCAATCACGGCTCTTCACCATTTCCTTTTTTTAATATCTATAAACTGCCTGGTCTTCATAAATAAAGTAATATAGTTCCCTTTTGCTTTCTCATTATTTCTGAATTCATATTTCTCCTAGAGTGGTTGACAATCAAGGTTAGAAAGCCTAATCTGACATATTTTATCTCACCAAGAAGAAAAGGATACATGCTTTTCCAAGGATATTAATGCAAAGTGAATACAAACCATCTTAGCCAGATTTTGAATTAATAAATACAACTACTACTTCTATGCATCATGTTCCTTCAAGACGTTGGCAATCATGGCTGTCCACAATTTCCTGTCTTTTGTAGCTCTTAGCAAAAGCAGTACATATAATTATTAGTATAGCCGAATAAAGTTTAGACAGGAGAGGAGGAAGAATGGTTTTCAGTATTAGCATTCTGCTGTTTTATTACAGGATAAAAATAAAATGACTTTTGCTTTTGGCTTCTACTTCCTCATATATATTTAGTTAATTTTAATGGATACCTGTGTTTGAAATAGATGTCCTGTGTTTTTTTTTTAATGTGTCTATTACAGCTACCAGCCTGTGCACAAAAATTGCTATTGCTAAGAGGTATAAAAGACAAGTTGTGGAGAACCATGATCGCACATGAAGGGACACAACAGGAAGAAGAAAAAACTGCCTTAAGAAATATTTTCGCAAATAACTACCACACTACTTGATAAACTCTATTTATGTACTTCTGCCCAGATCAAGGATCAAAATTTAAGACCTATTCCCCAAAAATGAATAGGGGACAGTTTTTTAAAATTTCCAGCTAAATTCCTTTAAAAAGCCTCATTCTCTATTGAAAAACCAGCACAGCTAGCTTTCCTAACAACTGTTGTATGAGTTCTAATCATAGTGAAGTGTGTAAGTGCATATATTATATATAGATAGAGAGAGAAAGTTTGTCTATGTATTAATATTTTTATATTCATGATAATAGCTTAACATTTTTGTATATGCATGTGCGTATGTAGGTATGTACATACATGTGTGCTTATATGATTCTGCATTTCTTGTGTAGGAGATGGTGAAACTGGGTCTTGCTTTTGTTTTTGTATGGTTGGGTTTGATTCTTTTATTGAATATATCATATATATATATATATATATATATATATATATATATATATATATATATATATATATATATATATATGTGTGACATGTCCCTCTTTATTTATATTGCAAGTAATTAAATTGAATTAAATCAATCACTTGGAGGTATTGATATTAAATATAAATTTCTGCACTAAAATTTAATAATTTATCTTTCATTCTTTCTTTCTATTTCTTGAAAATTGGATAATATTGAGAAGTCGCAAACATCAGCCAATCACAGAATTAGGTCACAACCAAACAGATTTGATTGCTTTTGAACTGGATCAACGGTTTGATTTGATTTCATATGTCGTGTTCAACAGTTGAACTTATTTCATTCGTAGTGCACAGATGCACCTAATGTTGAATGCTAACCCGTCAGAAGAATCATAGCCCTTACACCTAGAAGACGTGCAAGTGTTTATTTCTTTTTCTGTGGGTTGGCTCTCACGTAAAATTGTTTTCCAATCGTCTAGAAGCTTCTGAGATCATCAGGAACTCAAAAGTTAAGATGGACTGTATCCTTCATAAATGAAAAGCAAAGTGCTTTCAGTACAATAATCAAACAAATAAACAACACTAATCAAACAAAATATTTCTAGGAATAAAGGGAAACAACTCAACCAAGACAAAACAAGATTTGTCTACCTTGAACTATTTATAAAAAGAAAAGTAAAAGAAATAATGATCAAAAATCGGTGATAAGATCATTTGACAAGTAAATAAACCATTGAACATTTCTCTAATAACAATTTTTATATTTTCTTCCACTGTATATATCTTTATTTTATTAAAATAAGTATAACTTTACATCTCGTGTTTGTTTTCTATATTATCTGTGCTTGTATTTGTCCCTAATTGAATAGAAAATATCGCCTTTTTTTTTTAAGCAAACTGCATTTGCAGCCATATGTTTTAATTTTTTCGAGATATAAAATTTGTAACATAAAATAATTGGGGGCCTGTTCAGGAAACTCTACATTCTACTCAATTGAAGTGTGCACACATCGATAATTGTACAGAGAACAAATCAAGATATCAGTTGTTGAAATTTTTTTTAGAATATCCTTTAACAAATTGCTAGAATTTAGAAAACATGATGTGTTTGAAGTTGGTGAAAGACTTGAACTCGATGTCAGGAAAACTATGCATAAGGCCCAGATAATTAAAGTCATTGTTGAACATATGGTGGATAATGACATTTCTTGATGAGGATATTTTAAGCCGAATACAACCAGATACTCCAAAATTATCATCTACACAGTTATTTTAATTGGTGAAGATTGAAATTAGTACCAGAGCTGATATTGAGGAAGCTAAGATAGCACAAGAAACTTGTTTCCAAGAAATCAAAGAATGACATGTAAATAATGAACAAAGAGAGAAAGGATTTGATCTAGCCAAGCAAAGACTAGTACCAATTTTTAATGAAAACAAAAAAGATGAATATTTCCTACACTTCGAAAAAAGTTGCTATTTGTTTGGACTGGCCCACAAATTTTTCACATTCTTTATTTTAGGTGGTGTGGTGACATAATTTTATTTATTTATATTAAAAGTAATTAAATTGTATTAAATCAATCATTTGAGCTATTGATGCTAAATATGAATCCACACACACATATATATATATATATATATATATATATATACACACACACAAAAATACATATGATATATATATACATACATATGATATACAGTGGGCTATAAGTTTTTAGCCACCCTTAATTATAGCATTTTTGGCTTGTGTAATAATGTATCTTCTTTTTTTTTTTTCAGACAATACTGTGTTAGTATCAAGCTACTCTAATCTATGAATGATAGTTGACTTATATCTTGCAATGAAAGTTTGCGGAAATAAGGAAAATTGGTGAATTTCAACAAGGGCAAATAATAGGATGGCATCAGTGTGGCAAGTCAAATAGAGAAATTGCTCAGTTTTTCCAGGTTAATCATTAAACGGTTAATAATATCGTCAAGAAATTTAATGAAGAAGGCCATTGTCATTCAGGACGACCAAGAATCATATCTGAATGAATAAAAAGGGCACTGAAGATGGAAGTCATCAGAGCATCAAAGATGTCATCAACAGCATGGAAATGTTACCATATATGGTGAGAATGAAAGAGCTTGGCTTTCAAAGAAGAGATGCCAGAAAGAAGCCCTTGATTTCAGAGATCAACAGGAACAGGCATATGGACTTGGTGAAAGAATTCAAGAGCAAAGATTATGAATTTTGGCAGTCTGTAATTTGGTCAGATGAAAGTAAATTCTGCCAATATCCAAATTCGAGACAGGTTTATGTTTGGAGAAATCAGAATTGGAACACTGAATGTCTGCCAGCAACCGTGAAACATGGAGGGATTGGAGTAACAGTGTGAGGCACTGTATGGTTTGGAGGGAAATCCGAGCTGATTCTTGTTGACGAGCGGTTGAATGGTCCAAAATACTGTCAAATATTAGAGAAAGGACTACTCCCACTATTTGAAACCAATCAGATTAACAAGAATGTCTACCTTTTTCAAGAAAATGAAGCACCATGTCATACGAGCAAAGTAGCAAAGGCATGGAAGGAATCGCAAGGAATCAAGTCACTGTGATGGGTTGCCCAAAGTCCTGACATGGATCCAATAGAGCATGTTTGGGAGCAGCTTCACCGAAAACTTTGAGAGCGTGCAAGAAAAATCATGTCAGTGGCAACCCTTAAAGAAACATTGCTAAAAGGAGAGGCAAAACATGGATCAAATGATTGCTGATAACTTGTTCAAATCCATGAAAAATTGAATACAAGTACTGAAACTAAGGACCTACTCTATACTAGTTCAAAATACTGTTTATTTATGTTGAGTAGGGATTACGTAATAAAATTTTGAAATTGAGTGGAGTTCATTTCTCCTGGCTAAAGACTTTTCTTAGGCCACTGTACATAATATACATATGATATATATATGATACATACATATGA